GACTCTACACACACACACACACACACACACAGACACAGACACAGACACACACACAGTGTTAATGCAGACAGTTTCATATTGCTCTTCATGTTCATACCACACACAATCATGTGTGTGTGTGTGTGTGTGTGTTTGTTTGTTAGTGAGTGTGTGTTTGTTAGTGTGTGTGAGTGTGAGTGTGTGTACAGATACAGCTAAAGCTGCACATACAAATCAAACACAATTATTTACAGGAAGAAAAGAGAAGGAAGTTGAGTTAAGACCAGCATTTGTGTGTGTGTGTGTGTGTGCAGATCGGTGTTGTGTTTCTGTTAATGAAAACCACACTGCAGTAACGCATCGACTCCGAGAGGCTTTTGATTACACTGGGAAATGATCAACATCTGCAGTGTGAAGGTCAAAGCATCTCCAGCAGCTCCTGCAGACAAGAAACATGCGAACCAGCCCAAACCTCCCACGCAACACCTGATGAAGCAGCAGAGCGACTCTCCACAAACGCTCTTTATATATAAAATAAACTTCATATATTACTTACAAAATATTAAACAAATTAAGAAATATATTACTACTGCAATTATAGTATTCCATTTTAAAATAGTATTAAATAATTTAATACAATTATAATAATTTTATTTTACAATAAAACTATAAAATTACAATACTAATATTTATGTCCTAGTTTCTTCATTTTCAAACATTAAACAATCTAGTTTTTATAACCACTTCTCATTACTGACCTAGTGAAATGGGCTGAGAACACTCATCTCACACTCACGCAAATGACACATCTTTCTTTTTTAGTTCAGCATTTAAAACTGTTATGTTCACATGTACATGTAGACACACCAGAGACCTACAGTAGCCTGATCTGTGGAGAAACGCTCGAATCGGGTATTTTAGATCGAAATATCCTTGGTTCAAGTGGAAAGACAAGAGGTTAGGCATACAGCAAGTATTAAACAAATAAAACACACCAACTGAAAGATAAAAAGGCAATTCTCTGGTAAAACTACTGGCGCAGGATCTGAAGTGTTTGGGGACACATTTTAAATCTCATCAGCCTCTCTTCACAATACAAAGCAGTTTCAAATGGCTTTTTAACAAGATGCACATGGGATATCAAATGAACATCTACCAAACACCAGCAAATGAACAGAACAGAACTTTGAAAACTAAAACTAAACTGCTGTTGCAAGCATGCATGACCAAAAACGCATTTTTTCTTATTAAACAGAACTTGGATGAACAAACGGACACTATGAACAAATGTTGTCTCCCTTTGTGTGAGGCTTCCTGCGTATGATCTGCACATCTGTAATTGTGAGTGTGTGTGTGTGAGTGTCTGTGGTGTGTGTGTGTGTGTGTGTGTGTGTGTGTGCGTGTGTCTGTCTGTGAGTGTGTGTGTGTGTCTGTAATAATGTGTGTGTGTGTGTAATAGTGTGTTTCTGTGTGTGTGTCTGTGAGTGTGCGTGTGTGTGTCTGTAATAGTGTGTTTCTGTATGTGTGTATGTGTGTGTGTGTGTGTGTGTATATCTGTCTGTCTGTCTGTCTGTCTGTGAGTGTGTGTGTGTGTGTGTGTGTGTGTCTGTCTGTGACTGCTGGTGTAGATGCCTGATTGATTACTGGGTTGTTTGGTTAGTGGTGTGCTGCCAACAGATGCTTCATCCTCCCTCCTCTTCTTCATCACCATGGAAACCTGCAAGCATCACCCAGCATCAGCAACGTCTCACACACACACACTGAGTTGTACCTGTTGCGTCTGTCTGCCGCTGG